AAAAACTAAATTAGAAAAATTAGCTTTGCCAACCTAATCCATTCTGTCTACTGCAACCAGCAACCTAAAATGTAATCTGATTATGTGACTCTTTAAGTGATTCCCTTCATGTTCAGGGTAAAGTTCAAGGCCCACATCATGGTACATAATAGCTCCATTCTGTCTTTCCAGGCTTATATCATATCATCCCCCAATCCAGCTATAATGAACTCATTGGTTATCTTAAACTGGTTTGTCTTCCTCTTCTGCAGCTGGCTATTTCTTATTTTTATCATTTAAGTCATTTCAGGAAACTCCTCTTCTGGGACCCCTCAATTTGAGAGTAACAAACCTTTCTTGTTCTCTTAATATATTGTTTATACTTCTATCACAGCATTTGTCACACTGTATTGTCAAGCCATAAGCTTCGTATCTGAATTCTCTTCATATTCTCAGAACAATTGTGGGTGTTTAGTAAACATTAGTAGCTTCAAAGAGATCCTGTGCTGAATTTCAAGCCCAAGGTTTGCTTTGTAGCACTTGCTGAAGCATGGCAATGAAAGGAAAAGGAATACAGAATAATATTCATAAAGGAGGAAACGTGAATTCACTGAAGATGCTTTCAAAAATCAGAGGGATCCCGGGCATATTTGCATGCTGAGGTGAAGGGGGCAGTGGAGAGAGACAGAGATTGAACATATAAGAGAGGGATAGAAAGAAGTAAGGTCACTTGGAAAGGAGAAAAGGTTTTCACCAAATTTTCTCTAAAATAATTTTTTAGCCTTTAGAAGTCTGCAAGTTATTCATCTCATCAAGGCTCAGTTCAGCTTACCACAATATAATATTTCCAATGAAGCATTCAAGCTACACGTTTACTTATTAAATAGATCATTCATCTTTTTTGAGTCCAGAAGGAAGATGGATAAGAAGTACACTTTGTAGAAGTTAATGATTAAAAGTTTGCTTACATGGGCTGAGGTTGTGGCTCAGCAGTAGAGTGCTTGCCTAGCAGGGGTGAGGCCCTGGGTCCAATCCTCAGCACCACATAAAAATAAATACATTAATTAAAGATATTGTGTGTGGGGGGGACTGGGGATGTGGATCAAACGGTAGCTTGCTCACCTGGCATGTGTGCCGCCCAGGTTAGATCCTTAGCACCACATACAAACAAAGATGTTGTGTCCTCCAAAAACTGAAAAATAAATATTGAAATTCTCTCTCTCTCTAAAATAAAAAGATATTGTGTGGGAGAGCAACCTCACATGTGACTGAGTTACTCCCCAGCTGGGTGTTTTGAGGTGTCCAGTAGCAGATGCAGCAGGACTTCCCTACCCTTCTTGGGTTCGAGAACGGTTTCTGTGTAGAAGTGTGTCTCTCCACTACCCCAGGGACCCAATTACCTCACCTGACCTTGCAATACTGCCCCCTTTGACCTTCATTGGACGGGATTTTCCCCAGAATTTAGAGTTCCCCAATAAAAGCCCACTCCCAAGCATGCTCGCTCTCTCTCACTAGCCTCTCCGGTAGAACCTTGCTTCCCCTTTGGGGAGCTTGAAGCAGAGAGTTCGAGGAGCTGTCCAGAAGCTGGTTTAAAGATAAAATTGTGTGTCTGTGTTTTATTTTGCAATTCCCTGAGAATTTCCCTGCGTGACCAAACAATTAACCGTCTGCATCAACTAAAAAATAAGTATTAAAAAAATAAAAGTTTATTTACAAAAAGCTGGTGCTATATCACTCTCTATGTTACTAGAATAACTGGCATGCTTTAAAATATGCCAGTGCCTGGGATAAAATGATATTTGGAAATCATACACATGCCTGCATGTGTGTGTATGCATACACACGCACACACACTCACAGGGAGAGAGAGGGGAGGGAGGGAGAGAGAGGGGAGGGAGGGAGAGAGAGTGAGTGAGAGAGAGAGAGAGAGAGGAGAAGAAGGAGAAGAAGAAGAAGAGGAGGAGGAGGAGGAGAGGGAGAGAAAGAGAAAGAGGGTAGTAAATTCTGACTGATAAAATATTCTGGTTTTAGCAGTTATTATATACTTGAATTACTAATTTGTTTAAAAGCTCAGGTATTAGAAATAACTTACATTAAAGCACAATGGAGGGCTGGGGTTGTAGCTCAGTGTTAGACCACTTGTCTAGCATGTGAAATGCTGGGTTTAATTCTCAGCACTGCAAATAAATAAGTAAAATAAAGATCCACTGATAACTAAAATAGTTAAAATAAACACAGTGGAATATTACTCAGCCTTAAAGAAGAATTAAATTATGGCATTTGCCGGTAAATGGATGGAGCTGGAGAATATCATGCTAAGCAAAACAAGCCAGCCCCTCAAAATCAAAGGCTAAATATTTTCTTTGATATGCTGATGCTAATTCACAATAAGGGGCGGGGGCACTAGGGAAGAATAGAGTTACTTTAGATTAGGTAGAGGGGAGTGAAGTGAGGGGAGGGGATAGGGGAATAGGAAGGATAGAGAATGAAACAGACATTATTACCTCAAGTACATATATGACTGATGACCGATATGATTCTACAACATGTACAAAAAAATGAGAAATTCTACCCCATTTATGTATGATATATCAAAGTGCACAAATGAATTCCTACTATCATGTATAACTAATTAAAACAAATTTTAAAAAACACACAGCATGAATGAGGAGGGAGTTTCTGGTCCTCTGTCACCACTGAGAACTCCCATAAACACTACTAGTTCCTCTGTTTAAACACACTAGTTACTATTTTTAGCACTGAGAGTGACACAAATATTTAAGATGCAGTTCTTGACTCTTAGAAGGCATGTTAACTATTATAGATTTCCAATTAACCGAGTGTACAAGTGATTATTAAGTTAATGTTAGACATATTTTACTTTGTTTTCCATTCTGCTAAATCTCTTCTCTCCACTTTTCTTTTTCCTTTAAATCTTTCTTAATTATCAAATTTATCTGGGCTTCAGAAACAGCTCAGAATGCTTAGAGTGCTTTGCCCCTAGGAGTACTTATTATTTATTTGTTAAACAGTTTGACCAGTATTGACTCTGGTGTAGATGGCAATTGGCTGAATTGGAACGTCCAAAATGCATTTAGAGGAGAGAACAGTGCTGAGTATTGCAGCTGCAAGAATCTCTAAAAACAAAGTCTGTTACATAAATTATGTACTCTTTAAATGCTCTTCCACGTTCATTTCACAACCCATCATTGAGACTGCTTTAGAAATATGTTTATCAAATATTTAGCACATTTTAAAAGGTTCCTTAATAACATCACTAATAAGTGGGTACAATTATGTGTTTGTCTTCTACAAACACTTATAAATATCAGATAACCTAATTATAATTTATTAACACTACCTTTGAATCACTCCAATGAAAATGTTCCCTCAATGCATTCATATTGTTTTGGTGCACAAGTATGGAAAGCAGCAGATTGTTTTCCATGATCATAGATTTTAAATATTTACTTGCTAGTGCTGCATAATTTATCACACTGGAGTTGGAAAGCAGTTTGTATGGTAGCTGATACTGTCAGTGTTATAGAATGTAAGATCCCTCTGTGACTTGCATGTAAAGTTGTAAAAATGAAAGGTATTCTACTTCCTTTTTCTTTTAAAAAATATTTTTAGTTGTACATGGATATGATACTTTTATCTTATTTATTTATTTTTATGCGGTGTTGAGGATTGAACCCATGCCTCACATGTGCTAGGAAGTGCTCTACCACTGAGTTACAATCCCAGCCCTCTACTCTGTTTTTCTAACCAGTTAAAATTTATTTTGCTATAAATCCATAGAAACCTAAAGCTTATGTTAGTCACACAATTTAATTTTGCATAATTATCACATAATTATTTTATGAATCCAAGCATTGTTTTTCATAGCCTGTTAATATAGTAAGTTAAAAAAAAAAAACCTTATTCTTGTCATCCAATTATTTATGGAAGTTAGAAAAAGTCTCCAGATGGCTGTTAGATGTATGTTCTCTCTCTTAAATAATCAAAAGAGTTCTGTCCGTCTATATATGGAACCACAAGCTATGTAAATAGGCAAGAAGAGGGTTACTTTGCTTGCTCACTCTAACAAATGTTCTATTTGTTATTTTGTACTCTGATTGGTTATTTGATTGCCCCCAGAACATGAATGAAACATAAATTGCTCTAGTTAACCTAGAGCTGTTTTTTGAGAAAAATAATGAAAATAAACAAATTCACATTCACAAATGGAAAATAATGATTCAAGTTTAATCTAGAATTTTTCAATTCTGCATTTTGGAAGATTTTCATTCCCATGTGGTTTCATAGTCCTGACGTACAGATTTTTTTTTTTTTTTTTTACTTTTGAGTTTCTACTATAATTTCCTAGGTATTTTAGGAGAATGTCTGGCAGTCGTTGAGCCAACAGAATCTGCAGTACTGCAAAACCATATAGAATTTTCTTTTTACTATGATTTAGTCATTCCTTCAACATCTTTTAAAAGTGAGCCCTCTTCCAGACTGTTGTGTTTCAATCCTTAAAAAGAATATAAAGATGGAAAGTGAGTGCGCACGTACCTGGGTATTTTACCCAACCTAGAGTCCTAACTATAGCCTGGCTTCAAGTACCCTTGCAACAGGTTAAGACAATAGTGGTATTTTTATCACAATGTGGCTTGGTTAGAGGTCTAAACTGTCGGACAGTGAGAATGAAGGGCGCCGTGCATACTGGGTCTTGTAGTTCTTGAGCCGAAAGCAAGCGTGGTGTTGCATGGCATGCTGGTAGTTGAAGTCCACTTGTTCAACAGGCATTTTTGACAGCTGTAGCAAGGTTTAGTCCATCAGAGAGACACTGCTTATAGAAGCCTTCTCTGGGCTTTGCCCTCGTGGCACGAGTGATCAGCGGTTGCTACGGGAGGCAAACCCGTGGGAAGGCGGGACGTAGGAGGCCAGCCGAGCGCAGGCCAGTGCTCCTCGGCGCTCTTCGCCAGGCTTTGCCCCGGAAGTGGCTGATCTGCAGGCTCGCGGCAGAGGCTGTTCCTCTTACTACGGTGGCCGCGTGGCCGCGGAGCTGAGGCTGCGGCGTCGAGTTTGGAACGTCTGCGTGCAGCTGCTTTTGTGGCGGCCGTTGCTAGAGGTGGAGAGTTTCCTGGGTTGGTGGCTCCTGCACATTTGTACAGTTCTCGGGTCCTTCTCTTTCGGTGAGGGGTCGGCTTGAGGCGAGGGGAGTCGAGAAGGTCGGGAATTAGCGTCTCTAACTCCCGAATGGCAGGGTTTTCTGGGAGGGCCTTGCCCCAGTGGAGACCCTATGGCCAACAGTTGGGTTCTCCGAGGCGTTGGCGCCTCCCTCCTCTCCGCTTTCCAGTGTCATTTGTCTTCTGACTCCTCCTTGCCCTGTCTTGGGCTCTAAAGATAACAAACCCTAAGCCTTCCTGTGGGCAGCTCTCTTTCATTGCGGTTTTTTATTAGGTATTCCAGGCACGACCTTGTGCCCTGAGCTGTCTCATCTGTTTGGCCCCTTCCCCGTGCCCATTTCTCTCTGGGGAAAACAAAAACAAAAACAAATATACACACAAAAAACTAAATTCTTAAGATCTCATTTTCTCATTCCTATTCCCTGTCCCCTCTTGTGGTCTTTGTCACTGTTTCAAACTGTAACACATTACCTTGGGTATACTGATGCCTTTCTATCTGGATATTAACGTTCACTAATTTTATTTGAGTTTCTCTTTTGAGATTGAAGGTTCAGAATACACTCTTAACATTTGATGACCCTGAGTTACAACGGCCAATTCTGACATTGCTTATTGAATTTATTTTTATTTTAGCTTCTTTGGCTTACATTTTCATTTTGTGTTGTTTTCCTATATGTGGTCCGCTACTACCTTAGACTTGAGGAGAATACCTTGTCCTACAGCCTTTCATGTTTAAATGACTTAGATGGGAATTTTCATTTGTTTTCCGTACTGTATGTCCCAATGGATTTTTTTTTTTTTTGCAGTGATTTTGTGTCAGTTGATAGCACTTAGATGCACAAGGGAGTGGTCTTTCCTTCTTGCTTGTGATTTATAATTAGATTATGAATCATTGAAAGTACTTAGAGGAACTGGAAAGGCTTTAAAGGAAAAATCTATGTCTTTTCTGAGTTTCAAATTGATAAAGCTTTTTCCTGAACAGTGAAGGGGTTCTAATTAGTCAGGAAATCTGGTGCTGTATTGAATTGCTGATCAATTCACTTGTTATAAAATTTTGAGAACTATTTAAAGTTAAAAAGCAGAAAACATAAGAAGTTGTATAATTAGTAAGTTTTAAAGCTATTTACTTGGTGCTCTTTTTTCTGTGAAATGGGATGTACATATGTTGAAAAAGGTGTTTGTGATAATTAATAAGTATTTCTAGATTTGGTAAAGGGCTTTGAATACTATTCACTAGTGTTTTGTAGACAAAATTTTTTCCTTTGCTTTCTGAGACTAATGCAACTCAAATGAGTTTGCCACTTCTAACTCAAAAGAGTTTGCAACTACTGTTCTTATTATTGCATTATATATTATAGTAAGTTATCATTCTTCTTTAACAATACAATCTATACCTGTCCATAAAATTAACATTAATACTTGTATTATCAAATTGGGATTATTCCTAATTAATCTGAAATGGTTACAGCCATGCTTAAAATTTGGGGCTAAATGTATATTTCAGAATTAATTAACTCATGGAACTCTTTAATGGAAAAACCTAAGAAGCTAGACATTATTCAAATTTAAAAATATTTTCCTGATATTCCTGAGTTTCAAATTGGTACTTTTCTGAGATTTTGTTTAATGGTCATTGAATACTTCTTACTCTTTAATACAATCATCAGAACATTCACTGATAAGTGTTCTCTTGTCTTTATCTATACACATGCTTTTTTTTTTTTTTTGCAGGGGATGGGGGTGTACCAGGGACTGAACTCAGGGACGCTTGACCACTGAGCCACATCCCCAGCCCTATTTTGTATTTTATTTAGAGACAGGGTCTCACTGAGTTGCTTAGCACCTCACTTTTGCTGAAGCTGGTTTTGAACTCTCCATCCCCCCATCCCCACTCCTCCATCCCCATGGGGATTACAGGTGTGTGCCACCTGCCTGGCATCTGTACCAAATGCTTTTGAAACATTATCTTCATTAATTGTAACAGTTCAGTGAGCCACTGATTATTATTTACATTTAGCAAATGAACAGACTGAAGCTCAAAGAGTGTATGTCTTTCAGTCCATTTTTTTTAAATTTTTATTTTTTATTCTTCCCACTGTACTACAGTTGCAAAGATTTGTTCTGCATCCTGGAATGTATAAAGATCTTGCTTTGTAGCTTTATTGTATCAGTTACTCTGCTAGTTGCAGGTGATAGAGCAGTGAACAAAAGAGACAGACAGAAGCTCCTGCTCTTGGGAAGTTTATAGTCTAGAAGAATATATGAAGTGTAAACTTTGCCTAAGGAAGCAGAAAGTATAGGTAATAATTGTTAGATTTTGTGCATTTTCCAATGTTAAAGTTGAAAAGAGAGGTTGACTAGGGAAGGTTTTATGAAGATGAGATTTAATCTGGAATTTTAATAGTGGGTAGAGATTTTATAGGTAGGAATAGGGAGGAGAGTAATTCCAGAAAGAAGCATAAAATGAACAAAAATTCCTAAGGCTAAATTTTAGGGAGAGCAATTAGAGGGGTAAATAGAGAGCTACTTTGTGTCTTCAGTTTTCTTGCATGTAGTAAGTACACAATGTTGGTTGAATTTGGAAAAAAAAAGTTTAAACAAATGAAGTCACAGTAACAGCTCAGATGAGAAGTAATGAGGAGTTAGATTTAGAGTGACTTTATTGAAAATGGAATAAAGAAATATATTGGTGAAAGAACCTATAGGTTTGTTAATTATTGATTGTTGAGAGTGGGATAGTAGCCAAGGAAGAAGAAAGGCTAGATTACCAGTATGAAATGAGTGAGCCCCCCAGGTGAATTGTGAGTCATGAGATTAAAAAAAAATTCCAAAAAGCATCATTATTTTATGATTCAGTAAGAGAAAAGAAATATTGTTATTTAAACAGATTAAGAGTATTAATAGTAAGATGAATTTTAATTTCAGAGTTAAATATAAAATTCTGTGATGGAGGCTTGATGTCATAAGGTATCCTTACAATGAGTGATGTAATCTCTGACACACATTCAATCATTTAGCATTTATTTATAATTGGGTACTTTTCTAGGCCACAGTGATGTAGTAGTGAGTAAATATAGTTACTACCTTCGTAGAATTTACTGTAACAGAGGAAGCAGATGTAAATCAGATAAAGAGATTTAACTTTACAATTATGTTAAGTGATATGAAAAAGTATTTGATATTATTTATTCAGAGGAAGAACTGATTATCAAGGGGAGAAGACTGAGAGACCAGTTAGGAGATTGCTGGAGTAGCCCACTGAGAGATGGTATTAATCTAGAGAAGGTGGAGGTAAATTGTAAAAGATAATTAGTTAGAAGTGAATGGATTTCAGAAATGTTGGGGAGGTAGAACTGGAAATTACATTAGATATGAAAGTTGAAAAGACAAAATGTCATTGGCTACACCTAGATTTTTGATTTATTTAACTGGATGGATTGTGATAAAATTCACTGAGAAACAGAACATTGAAAGAGGATCAGGTTTAGGGGGACATGCTTTGTTTATTAAAATTATTTTATCGTGGCAGTAGTGTTCAAGGTTAATTCTTAGTTATTTTTCCCTTTTGTGTCATTGTTTAGTATATTTGAATAATGGTAATTTATAGTAAGGTTTTTTTTTTTTTTTTTTTTTTTTTTTGCATTGTTTCTCCTTGAATGAGGGAGAATGAAGTTCTAGATGAAAGCATCTGGAAAAATGTTGCTGTCTATTTTGAACCTATGTTCAAAAAGTCTCATCTGTTGTTCTAAAGGTCAACTTAACTTTCACCTTACTTTTTTCCTCCAATTTTTTTTCTTTTGAAAGTTTCAAACCCAGAGCAGCCATTGAAGGGGAAGGAAACTGCTGGTGTATGTGTGTGTGTGTTTGTGTGTGTGTGTGTGCGCGCGCGCGCGCGCGCGCGCGTGCGCGCACATGTGGGTATGTGGACAAGGAGGTGGGGGCAGCCGAGTTAGAGTCCCAACTACCTTGGACTCCATTTGCTATTCTTTTCTTTCTCCCCCACATCTATCTGGTGGTAGTGGGCGTTTAAATTTGTGTGTTTTTTTTCATTCATTTCCAAATCTTTTAAAAATTTTAGGGTTAGGGGGTAGTGGGACAAGCAGGAAAGGGGAAAGGAAGAGAGTAGGAGCAGAAGAGCAGGAGGAGGACATGGAGATGAAGAAGAGGATTAACATGGAGTTAAGGAACTTAGCCTCGGAGGAGGTGACAGAATTAGTTCTTGATAATTGCCTGTGTGTCAATGGGGAAATTGAAGGCCTGAATGACACTTAAAGAACTAGAGTTTCTGAGTATGGCTAATGTGGAATTAAGTTCATTGGCCCAACTTCCCAGCTTAAACAAACTTCGAAAGTTGGAACTTAGTGACAATATAATTTCTGGAGGCTGGAAAGTCCTGGCAGAAATGTTCAAATCTTATCTACCTCAATCTGAATGGAAACAAAAATCAAAGATCTCAGTATGGTAGAAGCTCTGCAAAATCTTAAAAATATGAAAAGTCTTGACATGTTTAACTATGAGATCACAAATCTGGAAGATTACAGAGAAACTTTTTTTGAATTGCTGCAACAAATCACATACTTAGATGGATTTGATCAGGAAGATAATGAAGCACCTGACTCCGAAGAGGAGGAGGATGAGGATGGAGATGAAGGTGATGGAGATGAAGAGGAAGATGAAGCTGGTCCACCTGAAGGAAATGAGGAAGAGGAGGAAGATGATGAGGAGGATGAGGATGAAGATGAAGCAGGATCAGAATTGGGAGAGGGAGAAGAAGAAGTGGGCCTTTCTTACTGATGAAAGAAGAAATTCAGGATGAAGAAGATGATGATGATTATGTAGATGAAGGGGAAGAGGAGGAGGAAGAGGGGGGAGAAGAGGAAAGGAGATGCTGAAGATGGTGGAGAGGAAGATGACTAGATCATTCTAAGACCAGATTCCCCAGCATTCCTGGGTGTGCAATAGAGTGATCACATCTTTGTTTTTTCATGTACAATAGCTATCCCTACAGAAGATAATGTGTTCCTTTTTATAGAAAAGTGTGGTTTTACTATTTTTGCCTTATCATTCCAGTTAGGATTTACTAGTCTGTTAATGATCATATTGTATGTAGAGAAAAAAATTTCATTGACACTCCTCCCATTAAGACATTCTCTAGCAATTATATTTAGAAGCTAAATTTTCTAATTCAAGTTCAAGTTCATTGTATTAGTAATTTTTAGTCCGTAATTAAAACATGATTGCTTTTACACAGGTGAAGTTTGGTGCATTTCATTCATAAGATTTTAAAGTTATTTATAAATTAACTGAAATTACAGTCATCTGTAATATGAAATAACAGTAGTCTCTTGAATAAGTTGATTATTATTACTTTTTTTTTTAAAGAGATGCTCCAGGGATCTTTATTTTGAAGGCATTGGCTTTTTTTAAGTAGCTAAGGATATTTGGGTTTTTTTTTGTCACATGAATTAAGTTGTAAAGTAGAAGCAGAATAATAAAGGTTCTATTCAGCAATATAGTTTGTGAATTTGGGGGAGGTTCTAGTCCGTAATATAATTCATGGATTTTGTGGTGATTGATAAGATTTTATTTTTGAAGGAAAAATTGCCTATACTAAGTGAGACACGCAGATGAGCCCTCTCTTTAGGCTGCAGATCATGACATGCCAATAGTTGTTTATTTTGTTTTGTTTTAGTTGTGCATTTTCTTATCAGTTTCTTTGTGATCACTTTCCCTTCTTGTTGACTCCCCTCTCTCTATTCCAAAAGAAAGCTGGGAACTTCTGGATACCCAGAAAACCTTTAGTCTTATACCTCACCACCTTTTCAGATCTCTCTGGGTTTTAAACAGAGTAGAAGAAACTGAGAATTTTCTGAGATACAAATATTGTTATTGATACAATTTTAGGCATCAAGCTCTGCTTATTGTAAATCTTTCTTGTCTGACAACATGTAAGACCATATAAGTAGGTTGAAGAAAGTAAAGAAGCAGAGGAGGGTTTTTGAATAAGCATCAATGTTCATTGCCTGTTGATAATTAGACATTTAAGTCAATTTTTAAGTTGGCATCCCAAATTATTTGGATACCAACCCTGTGCAGTATTTATAATTTTTCTGAGTAGAACCTTTAGTTGTTCCTATAGTTTTAAAGCATTACCAGTTGTAGCATTTAATTGGAATATTGTAGGCAGTTGGAAAAATGTTTGGGATTAAATATTAAAATTAAGACTTATTTTCAAGTGAATGTTCATTAAAATAAAAGAATATTTGGGATAAGTATGAGTGTGTGCTTACTTACATGGTTACTATATAAAATATAATGAGTACACAAGTACATCTCTGTTTTTGTCATGGAGGCTCCATGTTCAAGGTAATTGCTTTGTTCATCTTGACTATCTAAAATTTTTTTCTTTGTTTTGAATATTTGTAAGGTTTTAAAAAGTGTCAGTAAACTAATTGAAGCTATTCTTCTCTACTGGGACACATTTAAATTACTTAGTGCTGCTGCTGCTTGTTTTTTTTTAGTTTAAAATGTATGACTTGGCGTTTTAAAGGTTATTTGTGGAGAAACTAAAACAGTTGCACAGCTGACTGAAAAAAAACACTTGGAATAAATTTAGTAGGGGGGGGGATCAGAAAGTACAGAACATTAACATTTTTTCTCTTAATTTTTAGGAATTGATATGCCCTGCTTTAGTCTCTAAGAATTCTCATTACATACTATGTCCAGGTTATCAAATACTTATTTTTAAAATGAAATCTATATATTGACTTTCTTATCAATCATCTTATTGTGCAATCAAAATTAGAGTTCTTTGGTTTGAAAACAACACATAGTGAACCTCCAGATAACTTTTAAGAACTTATTTAGCTTTGTGGGTGGTATTTTCATGCAAATAAGTAAGAGGAGGTTTTATATTTTGTAGAATTTTGGGGTCCTGTTTTAATGCTCTTTGTATTGCACTATGTATATAGTGTGTTAAGTTCTTTAAGAATCTCTTCTTAAACTTTGAGGTTAATCCTTTTGTGCAACTGTGTTTTTGAATAAAGCCATGACAGTGTTAAAAAAAACAACAACAAAAAAATCAGTACTCATGATCATTCTTTTATTGTTTCTGACTGTTCCCTGTTTTTCCTGTGACTGCTGTAACTTAAAAGTTTTTGAAATGGAATTGCTTCAAATAAATTGAAGATTTGTTATTAAAAAAAAAGAAAGTTTCAAACCCATAATAAAGTGTTTAAAACCATATGTACCAATAGATACTGAGTAATACAGTTAAGTGTCATTATTTTACTTGGGATTTGACAGTAAACTCACATCTGGTTAAATTCTTACTTGGGATTTGACAGTAAACTCACATCTGGTTAAATTCTATGCATATGTAAATATAAATGTGCATTTGGGAAAAACACATGCTTTTGATTTTTCTTTGAAGTGTCTCATGTATGTAATTGTTGATATCTATTGAATCAATACAATCAGTTTAAATTTTACATTTCATAGTGAAAGGACAGAATATAGTGTATAGAACAAAGATCATGGGCTTTGGAGTCAGCCTACTTAAATTCAAGATCTCTTGGTATATTCTAGCTGTATGACCTTACAGAAGCAATGTAGACTTTCCAAGATTTTGTTGTTTTATTTATAAGTTTAGGATAATAGTAGTACTTGCCTTATCCTTATTGTGAGGATTAAATGATATATGTATATGGGTTAACAAAATTCTTGGTACAGAATTTAAATGATTAGTACTGTTATTATCATAGTGATACTGGGTGTGAAATCATCTGAACTTTTGTGAAAATGTTTTAGTTTTAGGGCTCTGTATAAAATAAAGCTCAATTTGAGAAAAAGAATTTCTTGGTAGTTGTATTTATATTGGGGAGAATAATATATAAGATAGCTTTGTTTATTCACTGTTGTACATGCATCACCTCTCAGGGAATCTTAAGCAGAGATTATATTTAGTCTGCCACTATGGTAGAAAACTGATGGTGGGCCCAGCGCAGGCCTGTAATCCCAGTGACCTGGGAGGCTGAGGCGGGAGGCTGAGGCAGGAGGATTGTGAGTTCAAAGCCAGCCTTAGCAACTCAGTAAAATACAAAATAGAGCTTGGGGATGTGGCTCAGTCGTGAGTGCCCCTGAGTTCAATCCCTGGTACCAAAAAAAAAAAAAAAAAAAAAAAGAAAAGAAAACTGGTGGTGGATTGGTTTGTGAGTACTCGTTATTAGTTAGAATGATTATCTTTATTTTTAGCCATACCTTTTTTGAATGTTATACTCCTTTTAGCCCTTCTGGGTAGGGTGAAGAAGTGGTTAGGCTCTATAAAGTCTGATCTACTGTTCTAAAGGTCAACTTAACTTTCACCTTTTTTCCTCCAATTTTTTTTCTTTTGAAAGTTTCAAACCCATAATAAAGTGTTTGAAAGAGTTAGTACTACAAATATATGTACTTTATATCCTTCACCAAATTCATTAGCCTCATTTGGGCTTGTGCTTGCTGTTGCACAAGTGCTGTCTGTATTTAAATGTACCCATATACTTTTTTTCTCACTGAACTGTTTGAAAGTAAGGTGGAGACATAGTGGCACTTCACCCCTAACTACTTCATCATGTTTCTTCTAAGAACTGGGACATTCTCTTACATCAGTAACTCCTTTAGCATACCCAAATAATTTAACCTTCATATGATAATATTATCTAATGTAAAGTACATGTTAACAATTAGATTTTTTCAAATATCCCAATAATGCATTTAAAATATACTGAATTCAGTCAGAGATCATGAATTATATTTGATTGCCCTGTCTCTGTTTTCTTTTATTTAGAGCATTCTCCATCTTCTCCCTCCCCCCCTTCCTCCTTTCTTTCCTTCCTTCTCTTTAAAGACATTGTCATCGGTCAGGCACAGTGGCACATGCCTTTGTCCTAGCTACTTGGAGGCTGAGGCAGGAGAGGTTATAAGTTTGAGACCAGCTTGGGTAAATTAGCTGCACCCTGTCTCAAAATATAAAATTTTTTAAAAAAGGGTTGGGGATGTAGCTCAGTGGTAGAATGGTCCTGGATTTAATCCCCAATACAACCCCCCACCCACATGCACAAAGAAAACATTATTTAAGAGTCTAGACAAATTGTTTTGTAGACTGCTTCACAAAATTGAGATATCTGTTTCTTCACAATTAGTTTCAGGTTAATAGTTTTCCCTGTCTTACCTAGGTAATGTTAAAAACTTTTCATTTCATCATGACATAGTTTGTTCCATCATTGATGATGTTAACGTCCATCAGTTAGTTTAGCCTGATTTCTGTATTCTAAAAATATCATTTGTTTCCTTTTTTTTTAGAAAGAGAAGAGAGAGAGAGAATTTTTTTAATATTTATTTTTCAGTTTTCGGCGGACACAACATCTTCATTTTATTTTTATGTGGTGCTGAGGATCGAAACCCAGCGCCCCGCGCATGCCAGGCGAGCACATTACCACTTGAACCACATCCCCTGTCCCTCCTTTTTGTTTTTAATAATCAGTCAGTGGGGATGATATTTTGAGATCATGTGGGTATTGTTTTCCAGAGTTTTTTTTTTTTTTAACCTAGTGGTTTTAGCCAGTGATAATTCTTGCTTGGATCAGTCATTGCATTGGTACTTGCCAAATGGTGATTTCCCAAGTTTGGTCAATTGCAGTCCCTTCAGACTGGTTTCTATGGCTTTTGGATGTGTCCACATTTATATGTAAACATTTTTTTTTCCTCTTTTGTACCCTATGATGTTCCAGGCTCTTCTGTATGTTACCTACTTGAGATCTGGAATCATCCGTTTTATGATGGAGTCTGAGTTCATTTTAGTGCAAAATGATGCTTAGGACCCAAGATCTGGGCATTGAATATGTTCATTGCTATGGGGTGTCATTGCTTCTCAACCCTTTAAATGGACAGACACACAAAAATTCAGCACTAATTCATATTGGTATCTCCTTTTTCTTACAGGAAGAACTTGGATTTCAATAATATCAATGTATGTAAGCACTTAATTTATCCTATAATCACATAAAATAGTTTTGTAATTACTAGATCATTACTCCTTTCAACAACAAACCCACCAAATTCTTTGCCCTTAGAATTTTTTGTCCTTGGAATATATCCCTCTAAAGGTATATATAGTAGGTGCTCAAAATTAATTGAATTATTTTTTTTCTGTGTGATTATGTTATCAATTTAAAATGTAGTTAAGTTTTTACTAAACTACTCTTAAACTTTGTAAAATCAGTTGTTTGTAAAAGTACTAAAGTAAACATAACAATTTAAAACTGTATAATAATGTATAGTTACAGAAACTCTAGAATATTTATATCATCTGAAGACTATGCAACTTTAACCTTCATAAAGATTTAAACTTATGGCTCCATTTTCCAGTTGATATATTATTTATAATTAGGAATGACAAGTGACATTAAACAATTGGATTTGTAAGCCCAAACAATTGTGTTTGTGAATATTTTAAACAATGGTCTTTTATTGACTGATGATACAATTCAGCACTAATCTTTAACAATAGTCATAATTGTTGAGAATACTTCAACTTATTCCTAACTAATCTGTCTAGTGTTTTCCTGTATTTATTTTCAGAATAGAAAGATTTGTTAGTAGCATGCCCTTGTTCCTTGTATTGAAGAAAGCCATTTGTGATTATTTACCCTGTGATATTGCCCTGTGATTCGTCTGTGAATATTCTCATTGGATGGTGGAATATTTCTCTTTTGTATTACTTTGTATCTCTATTGTGAGATATAACCACATTCAGCTATGTTATGGTAGTTATGAACATCTTGCTTATTAGAATGGAAGGTTAATGAGGTTAGGAAGTAAGTTTTATCTCCCTTAGTGATCATTTTATCTCCCTTAGTACCTTGTAGAAGTAGCTACTCAAATATTTGACAAATAAATGTGGTATTTTATGTTTAAATGTGATGTATGTAGCTTCAATAACATGGATGTACCTTTGTCTTGGCAAGAGTAACTAATGGAGTGGATTTGGGAAAGATCATAATCATGTTTACTTGTTACCAACTTCTAAATCAGTGTCTTAAACTGATTTCCCCATCTTAACTTTAGTCTTCTCCATCTGCATTCCCTGTTTTTGAGGATGGAACCATTGTCCTCCTAGACCTCAGACTTGAAATCTCAGAGTCACTTTAGTCTCTTTTCTTGTGTGTGAGCATATGCATTCATATAGTTGTGTGACATTGCTAGTTCTACCATTTCAGTGTGTTACCTGTATGTCCCCTTATGGTACCCTGACTGAGTCCTTATTACCCTCTTTTTATAGTCTTCTGGCTAAGTGAAGGAATTGAGGATTTTTGATATGGAAAAGAGAAGACTGGAAAGGAGGGGTATTAGGAAGTATGTTTTAAAATATCAGCTGGGTTGTCAAATGGAATAAGGATTAATTTCTGAGGACATAAGCAGACTACTTGGTGGACTGTATAGGGAGAATTTTAGTTCTATGTAACATCTTTCTAGCAAATGTAGTTGTTTAAAATTAGTAGGTATCAGATAGTTAATGTGAAAACTATAGAACAGTTATATCAGTAGAGAATAAACAGTTTAAAACATTATCAAGCTTTTACATTTAAAACTGCATATTCAGTTAGTACAGTACTCATTAGGTAGTGAGCTCCTCCTTATTCTAGAAGTGTTTAGTCATAGGCTGAGGTACTACTGTTGGTGAGGATGCTGTAAAGGTCTCATTACTGTGTGTTAACTTTGGGTAGTGATTAGTGAATCTGAACCAGAGAACAAATCAGATTTCTTGGGCTGAGAGTGATTTTTTTTTCAATCTTTTAAATTTACCCACTTTACTCCTCCTCTCAATCTAAGCTCTGATAGATTGAAGTGTATTATATGGGACTGATGGTCAAGAACTACTGTTAATACTAGCTATTAGATGCTTTATAAGTTTTCTTTCATTTCAGAGATTCTGACATCCTTCATCTGTTAATTATATTTTATTGATTAAGTGGTTTGATCTCCTGTGTGCATCTTATCTTTAGACTGCATATTTAACAGCTTGAAAAGTTGCATTTTAAAGTGTGAAGGCTCCAAATATTCATAGATACCTAGAAATCATCAGAAGTTACTAAGATCCTGACATAATTAGTATTTATTTACCAAATGATAGTAAATATTATGTTCTTCTTAGAGATAAGATAAAGAAAGCTTAAGACAATATTGTCTTTGGACAGTCTAGATATCATTAATAATTCTTATTGCCATCTTCAAGTAAATGGTTGAGGTCATTTCAACTCCTTATATCCCATTTAGATTGGTTATGGTGATGACTGTATGCAGCCTGTGAACATGGAACATGCAACACAGCACAGGTCCAGGTTGTTTGCTACAAGTCAAGTGTGATGGTAAGTGTGTGTCTGCTCAGTACTTAAATTTTACATTTTATTTAGGTCGTCTTTATAAAGTAACTGTGCATCGAGATAATATTTTTAACTGGTGGATATGATCCTGAGATGCCCTAAGAATGTTTATAAGATGTATCCTTGGGACTATCTTATTATTCTCTTTGCTCTTAGCCCTTTGTTCTTCTTTTTAAAACCCTTTTTCTGAACTTGCATGTTTTGCCTTTATTGTGTTGTTGTTGTTCTTCTGAATCTTTTGTCTTCATCTTTTACTGCCACCTGTTTCCTCTTAGCTCTAAAAAGAGACAGTCCACATAATTATTACCATTGCTTTCCCATTCTCATATTTGTGTCCCTTCTCCACTGCTTTTTTTTTTTTTTTTTTTGCTATGTATGCTGGGTCTTTAGGAGTCTTTTCAGGTGGATTTAACAAACTGAACATTTTTTAGAGTATGAGTTTAGTGCATGGAGATAAAGGGGAATAGAAGTGGGGACAGTATTCATATTCCTGTAGGTAACAAACTGAGATGGAGAGAAGAAATTAGAGCAAAGCCGACAGCTGATAAGCAATTGATACTTGTTGCTAAAAAATAAAAACAGATAGAAAATGTTATAGTAGATGAAAAACTTAGAGCAGACCTCACATTTCATTTTATTTGATGGTATAGCTAAAAGCATATCAACAATTCAAAATCATATCTATAGTTCATCTTACTACAGAATACTATTTGAGGAAGATGACTGGCATACACAGATACTGGAAGTTTGTAGTATTTTTTTTTTTTTTTTTGGTGGTGCTGGGGATTGAACCCATTCGAGGCAGGCACTCTGCCAACTGAGCTATATTCCCAGTTCCCCCCTCCTGCAGCATTTTTATCCATGGCACAATGTGACGAAGATGCTTTCTGCTTAATCACTCTGTAAGGTTCTGCCAGGAGCGGTGGCTTTAAATCCTCAGTGAATAAAATATTCTATCTCTTGCCACATGGGAGAGGCTGATTATCTTCATCTGCCATGAAAGGACACTAATTTGTCCTTTTATTGATTTACATTTATTAGTTTGTTTTTTATTTTGTATTTTTAAAAAATTATATATGATAGAAGAATGCATTACAATTCTTATTACACATATACAGCACAATTTTTCATATTTCTGGTTGTATACAAAGTATATTCACACCAACTCATGTCTTCATACGTGTACTTTGGATAATAATGATCATCACATTCCACCATCATTTATAACCCCATGTCCCCTCCCTTCCCCTTCTATCCCTCTGCCCTATCTAGAGTTCATCTATAGAGTTCGTCTATTCCTCCCATGCTCCCTCTTTCTATCCCACTATGAATAGCCTCCTTATATCAAAGAAAACATTCAGCATTTGGATTTTGGGGATTGGCTAACTTCACTTAGCATTATCTTCTCTTAACTCCATCCATTTACCTGCAAATGCCATGATTTTAATTCTCTTTTATTGCTTAGTAATATTCCATTGTGTATATATGCCACATGTTTTTTTATCCATTCATCTATTGAAGGGCGTCTAGATTGGTTCCACAGTTTAGCTATAGTGAATTGTGCTGCTATAAACATTGATGTGGCTGTGTCCCTGTAGTATTCTGTTTTTAAGTCCTTTGTGTATAGACTGAGGAGAGGGATAGCTGGGTCAAATGGTGGTTCCATTCCCATTTTTCCAAGAAATCTACATACTGCTTTCCATATTGGCTGTGCCAATTTGCAGTCCCACGAGCAATGTATGAGTGTACCTTTTTCCCTACATCCCCGCTAACACTTATTGTTGATTGTATGCATCATACCTGCCATTCTGACTGGAGTGAGATGAAATCATAAGAGTGGTTTTGATTTGCATTTCTCTTATTGCTAGAGATGATGAATATTTTTTCATATATTTGATGATTGATTGTGTATCATCTTCTGAGAAGAGTCTGTTCAGATCCTTGGCCCATTATAGTGATTAGGTTATTATTATTATTTTTTTTTGTTTTGGTGTTTAGCTTTTTGAGTTCTGTATATACCCTAGTGATTAGTGCTCTTTCTGATGTGTGAGGGGTAAAGATTTTCTCCCAAGATGTAGGCTTTCTATTCACCTCACAGATTGTTTCTTTTGCTGAGAAGAAACTTTAGTTTGAGTCCATCCCATTTATTGATTCTTGATTTTAATTATTGCACCAAAGGAGTCTTATTAAGGAAGTTGGGGCCTAATCCCACATGAAGGAGATTAGGGCCTACTTTTTCTTCTGTTAATGGCAGGGTCTCTGGTTTTATTCCTAAGTCCTTGATCCATTTTGAGTTGAGTTTTGTGCATGGTGAGAGAGAGGGGTTTAATCTCATCTTTTTGCATATGGATTTTCAGTTTTCCCAGCACCATTTGTTGAAGAGGCTATCTTTCTCCAATGCATGTTCTTGGCACCTTTGTCTAAAATAAGATAATTGTAATTTTGTGGGTTAGTCTCTGTGTCCTCTATTTCGTACCATTGGTCTACCAGTCTGTTTTGGTGCCAATACCATGCTGTTTTTGTTACTATTGCTCGGTAGTCTAGTTTAAGGTCTGGTATAGGGATGCTACCTGCTTCACTCTTCCTGCTGAGGATTGCTTTAGCTATTCTGGGTCTGTTATTTTTCCAGACGAATTTCATGATGATTGCTTTTTCTATTTCTATGAGGAATGTCATTGGGATTTTGATTAGAATTGCATTAAATCTGTATATTGTTTTTGGAAGTATGGTCATTTTGATAATATAAATTCTCCCTATCCAAGAGCAAGGTAGATCTTTCTATCTTCTAAGGTTTTCTTTGATTTCTTTCTTTAGGGTTCTGTAATTTTCATTATATAGATCTTTCACCTCTTTTGTTGATTCCCAAGTATTTTATTTTTTTATTTTTTTTGAGGCTGTTGAGAATGGGTAGTTTACCTCATTTCCCTTTCTGAGGATTTATCACTGATATACAGAAATACCTTTGATTGATGGGTGTTGATTTTATATCCTGCTACTTTGCTGAATTCATTTACTAGTTCTAGAAGTTTTCCGGTGGAACTTTTAGTGTCTTCTAGGTATAGTATCATATCATCAGCAAATAGTGCCAATTTAAGTTCTTCTTTTCCTATGTGTATCCCTTTAATTTCTTTTATCTATCTGATTGCTCTGGCCAGTGTTTCAAGAACTATGTTAAATAGAAGTGGTGAAAGGGGGCATCCCTGTCTTGTTCCAGTTTTTAGAGGGAATGCCTTCAATTTTTCTCCATTTAGAATGATTGCTTTAGCTATTCTGGCCTAGGACTTAGCAAGGGTGTCTTTATGATGTTGAGACATGTTCCTATTATCCCAAGTTTTTCTAGTGTTTTGAACATAAAGGGGTGCTGTATTTTTTCAAATACTTTTTCTGTGTCTATTGAGATGATCATACAATCATATACTTACGTGATCATATGATAAGTCAATAGACTTATCTTTAAGTCTATTGATGTGATGACTTACATTTATTGATTTTCGTATCTTGAACCAACCTTGCATCCCTGGGATGAATCCCACTTGATCATGGTGCACGATCTTTTTGATATGTTTTTGTATGCAATTTGCCAGAATTTTATTGAGAATTTTTGCATCTATGTTCATTAGAGATACTGGTCTTAAGTTTTATTTTTTTGATGTGTCTTTGCCTGGTTTTGGAATCAGGGTGATATTGGCCTCATAGAATGAGTTTGGAAATGCTGCCTCTTCTTCTATTTCCTGAAATTAATTGGAGAGTATTGGTATTTGTTCTTCTTTAAAGGTCTTGTAGAACTCCGCTGTGTATTCATCTGGACCTGCGCTTTTCTTGGTTGATAGACTTTTGATGGCATCAGCTATTTCATCACTTGAAATTGAGCTGTTTAAATTGTGTATATCATTCTAATTCAATTTGGGCAAATTATATGACTCTAGAAATTTTTCGATGCCTTTGATATTTTCTATTTTATTGGAGTACAGGTTTTCAAAATAATTTCTAATTAACTTCTGCATTTCTGTAGTGTCAGTTGTGATATTTGCTTTTTCATCATGAAGGTTAGTGATTTGAGTTTTGTCTCTTCTTCTCTTTGTTAGCTTGGCTAAGGGTTTGTCAATTTTATTTATTTTTTTCAAAGAACCAACTTTTTGTTCTATCAATATTTTCAATTGTTTCTATTTCATTGATTTCAGCTCTGATTTTAATTATTTCCTGTCTTCTGCTGCTTTTCGTATTTATTTGTTCTTATTTTTCTAGGGCTTTGAGATGTAGTGTTAAGTCATTTATTTGTTGACTTTTTCTTCTTTTAAGGAATGAATTCCATGCAATGAACTTTCCTCTTAGAACTGCCTTCATAGTGTCCCAGAGATTTTGATATGTTGTATCTGTGTTCTCATTCACCTCTAAAAACTTTTTAATCTCCTCCTTGATGTCTTCTGTAACCCATTGTTCATTCAGTAGCATATTATTTAGTCTCCAGGTGTTGGAGTGGATTTTATTTCTTATTTTATCATTGATTCTAATTTCATTCCATTATGATCTGATAGAATGCAGGGTAGTATCTCTACTTTTTTATATTTTCTAAGAGTTACTTTGTGGCATATTATATGGTCTATGTGCTGCTAAGAACAAAGTATATTCTCTCCTTGAAGGTTAGAATATTCTATATATGTCAGTTTAGTCTAAATTATTGATTGTATTATTGAGTTCTATAGTTTCTTTGGTGAGCTTTTGTTTGGAAGATCTATCTAGTGATGAAAGAGGTGTGTTAAAGTTACCCAAAATTATTGTGTTGTGGTCTGTTTGACTCTTGAACTTGAGAAGAGTTTGTTTGATGAACATAGCTGCTGCATTGTTTGGGGCATATATATTTGTAACTGTTAAGTCTTGTAGGTGTATGGTTCTCTTGAGCAGTATGTAGTGTCTTTCTTTATCTTTTTTGATTGACTTTAGTTTGAAGTCTACTTTATCTGATATGAGGATGGATGCTACCTGCT